GGGGGGGGGGGGGACCTTTACACATAAAATGAGATACTTGATTAGCTAGTGTTGTAAAGATATCAGTTGTGAGATGGAGTGGTACACTGAGACTCCCAGAACAGTCATCTGACCCTCAGCTATTCACTGGTATGAAGCAATTACTGCTAAAAATCTCAGTTGTGTGCGCAAGCACGTGTGTTTGAGTGTGGGTATGAGTTAGAGTCCGGACCCTAACATTCAGTGTCATCTTCAATTGTGCTGCACTTTTTTTCTTTGTTTTTTCAAGACAGGGTTTTTTTCTGTGTATCCTTGGCTGTCCTGAAACTCACTCACAGACCAAGAAATTACAGAGATTGGCCTGCCTCTGCCTCCCTAGTGCTGGGATTACAAGTGTGCGCCATTACTACCTGGCTTCTTTTTTTTTTTTTTTAAAGATTCATTTTTGCCCAACATGGTGGCCTTGGTGGCAAACTCCTTTACCTTTTAACTTGATGGTGCTGAGCCATCCCCTCACGTGACCTGCTGACTCTTCCTAGTGCTGAGCCGTCCCTCACTCTGACTGCTGACTGTTCATCCATACACAGCGCTGAGCTGTGCCCACTCTGACTGCTGACTACTCACTGTACACTGTACTGATTTCCACCTCCTCGGCTTCTCACACTCCAGCCTCCACTTTCTTGTTTTTTGTATCAGCCCCAACCTTACAGCAGCATCACACAGCAGACACTGGAGCTTTTATGGTAAGATCCCCGTACAGGTACTCTCAACAGTTTTATTAATCACCACCCACGGTGTCTGGAAGCAGCAGCAGAAGCAGAAGAGGCAAGAAGCTCATTAATCATGCAGATCTTCAGGCTGCCATTACGGGCTCCACTGCAATTTAACGAAACCCCCTGGGGGACTCAGCACCTCCAAAGGAGCCTCCTAGACACCTTCCAGAGTAATTGTTTGTTTGTTTGTCTGATACAGGGTTTCTCTGTGTAGCCTTGACTGTCCTGAAACTAACTCTGTAGAACAGGCTAGCTTTGAACTCACAGGGATCCACCTGCCTCTGCACCACCATTGCCCAGCTCCCATGACTTAAAGGAGTGTAAGGATGGTGTAGATAGCTGGTGGGTTCAATGAGGTACTTTTGAGGCATTTGCCAGCCCCCCCAAAATCTTTTCCTCTTTGCTGCAGCTGTCTTGCATTTTGAAGGTCAGGTGCCAGGACAGCCCTGTGTCCTGGATGCCCCTGCTGCTCACTGCTGACTTTCTTTACCCCTAGAGGAGGCTGGGCTTCTGTGTCCGTACTGGCAGAGGCTGTGGCTTCAGGCAGCAGGGCCGAAAGGAGAGGCCGGCCTGCACGGGCTCAGTGTGCCTTACATGCACCCTTGCACACTCCTCACAGGTGGGACTCTGTGACGACAGTCTTTCCCTCAGCCAGCTGGGCCGAGCCCCAGGGCACGGGTGGGGGAACAGCTGTGTAATCCTGTGCAGGTGTCTCATACCGCCTGAGGTGGCCTGATCTGAGAGCACTCCAGTCAGGACAGTCTTTCCTCACTGGGGACCCAGCTGGGGACCCTTTTGCTTGTCGAGTTTTTAGACAGTATCATATAGCCCAGCCTTGCCCCCATCTTTCAGTGTAGTCAAGGATGACCTTGAACTTTTGTTCCTTCTGCTCAAGTTCTGGGATTACAGATGTGCACCACCACACCCCATTTTTGTAGTGCTGGGAATGGAAGGAACATGGGCCTTTGTGCATGAGCTGAGGCACATCCTCTACCCCTCAGTTGACCTATTTGGGATGACAACTGAAAAGAGAATGATCATGAAACTGGGGCAGGAAGAGACAGAAACCAAAGGCCTCAGCAGATGGCCAACAGAAGCCAGAGCAGACAAGAGAAGAGAGACATTTACAGAAAAGTGGATCTCAAGAAATGAGGGTGAAGTGTGAGCATCAGACAGCCGGAGAAAGGCGGGAGACAGACCTGGGGATTCAACTGCACACAAAAGGAAGACAGAAAGTAGCCGTGTCCTCTGAAGTACACAGGAAGTTCTGCCACTTTGTTGACCGACATAGTAGCCCTGATCTCTCCCAGTGTGAGCAAGGGTGCAAGACCAGGCCGGAACTCTGGGAGAGAGTCCATACTGACCAGAGCCGGATCCCTGAGCTGGGCTGGAGGTAGCCATGTCCTTCCAGAGGCTCTGAAGACATAGACAGTTTTAATCTGTGGTCTCCAGGAATAACGATGAAGGCAGGCATCCCAGGAAAACCTGCAGGCTGTATGGGCCTGTGTCCCTCATACCTTTCCCACCCAAGGCCTCAGTAGGCCACCCATAAACAAGGCTTCTGAGCCCACCTCCCCTTCGCCCTGTGTGAGGGACAGCTGGCTACAGTGGGGACCAGGCTCCACAGAAAGGGCAGCCTGGCCTGTGAGTCCTGGGCCTCAGGGGAGGTAGAGGGCCACTACCACATAGATGACCCAGCTGGTAGACACGAACACTCCGAAGAGCAGGCTGAAGAGCACGAGTGAACGGGCCTTCCTTGAGGCTGCCTCTGCCTGTGCCAGGTCACCCCTGCCCAGGGCTGCTCGAGTCTGCAACAAGATAGGCCAGGGTGGGATATACCAACAACAGTTCCCCTCTACCCACCCGAGACCCCACCAGCACACCTTCAAGGTCAGGCCCATGCTGCCTGAGAAGGTCAGGAAGTGGGTCCATGGCTTACAAAGGTGCAGAAGTAATGGCAGTGGTCCCTCTAGCACTGAGGAATGCCCTCAAGCTCCTCTCATGCCACCTCACGGCAGCTCCCAAATGGGGCTCATTATACTCCACTTTGCTGATGATGAAATGAAAGCTCAGCAAACTTAAATGGCCTCCCTGGGCCAAACAGCTGATGGCAAAGCCAAAATCCACAGTCCTACCTCTGAGCTGCTTGCTCCCCTAAGTCCTAGCTAGTGCTGACCTTGGGCCTGAGACCTCCTCTCACTTCCCAGCAAGGCCAGGCTCGCCTTCCATCAGTCAGAACATCACAGCATCTTCATCAATGAGTCCCCCAGGCCTGACCCCACATGTCCAGGCATGTGGACAGTAATAGAGGGAACAGGGAGGAAAGAGGGAGGAGGGAGGAGGGATGCTAGTGAGATAGAGGGTGGATGGATATAGATAGTCATGCAAATGAATGAGTGAACAGAGAGAGAGCAGCTCCGTAGAGACTGGAAGATGAGTAAACAAAAAGGAGAAGATGAGCAGATGAGGTAATAGATGGCGAGAGGGTAACAGAGTTGATGGAGTGATATATCATAGTGGGAGGGAGGGTGGAGAGGTGGATTAACAGATGAATAGATGCATGCAAGCAAGATAAGGGTGGGGGGAGGCAGATGGTCTATAGACCAAGAGGCAGTTAGGGCAGAGGGATGGATATGTAGACTAGAGGCTGCTGAAATACCACAGCAATGGGCAACACCTTGGGCCTCATCCATCATTTATACGTTTGTTTGTTTGTTTGTTTGTTTGTATTAGAAATTGCCAGGACAGATCCTTAGAAGTGAAGGTCGCAGGTGAAGAAAGTAGACAAGAAAGGCCAGGCTCCACAATAGGGCTTGTTCCTGGGTCCTACCAGGCTGCTGGCTGCTGGGTGGGACCCCTACCAGTGCCCACAGGGGCACAGCTGGGACAGAGGCTGGGTCACTGCTGTGTCCCTCCTGGTCACCTACCTCGTGGGAGTAGACGATGGCAATAAGCCCTGTGAGCAGGCAACAGAACAGGGTCACCAGCACCGACTCCATCATGAAGTCCTTGGGCAGAGGCCTGTGTTCCACTTGCATGGGGGCGGGGGCACCAGCCACGGGGCCGCCATACTGGGGGCAGAATCACTTCCATGAGGAGCCAGGGAAAGGAGCCTGATCCCCTTCACCTCCTCACACCCACCTCCTGCCCCAGGGGTCCCCACAACTCTGCCGCACACACTGTCCAGCCCAAAGCTGGAGCTGCGAAGGCGGGAGGGGCAGCCTCCACCGCTCCTCCGCTTGCAACCCTTGGGGCCCTCATTTTGTCAACAGGGTCTTTCCATGCAGACTTAGCTTGGCCTCTGCCTGTGCTGGGATTAAAGGCTTGGACCACTTTCGAACCAGCACTTAGCAGGTGGAGGCAGCAGGATAAGGCAGTGAGTTCCAGGCCAGCCTGAGCTACATGAAGCCTTGTCTTTAAAAAAATAAAAAATAAAGTTTTTTGGTTTTGTTTTTTTTAATTATTTTTTCTTTCGATTAGGCGGTCAACCCCCTTGAGGCCTTCGACATTGATGTCATCTTCCGTACTCCTCTGACCACCAAAACAAACCCATCATTCCCAGAAACCTGGCTTGGCCACCCCTCAGCTTGTGCCCAGTGTCCTTCCTGGACATCTCCTTTTCGTCTTTAGGAACCCTGTTAGATTGTCACTGGTCTCCGCCTCCTGCAGGCCTGAGCGCTGTGCTTACCGCGGGGAAGGGGAAGGAGGCTCCTCCAGCCGCAGGTGGGAAGAGCGGGCCGGGCGGCGGCGGGTAGAGCGCTGCAGGCCCGGGCGCAGGCTGGAACAGCACGGGCACCTGGGGGAAGGGCGGATAGAGCAGCGCCACCGCCTTGGGGTCCGGCGGCGCGTAGGGCGGGGGCTCACCCACGAAGCCGATGGGCGGCACCGTGCCGCCGGTGGCCTTGGGCCCGGGCCCCGCCTCGCCCGGCGCGGATGGGGGTTCTGGGTCTCCCCGGGCCAGCTCATCGCCCTCTGCGGCAGCGGCCCGGTCCTCCTCCGACCCCGCATCTTCGTCCAGCAGCTGCGGGCGGCGGGGGAGCTGCGGGAGCGACGGCTGCGCGGGGCTGCGCGGGTCGGCGGCGGCTGGGGAGTCCTCCGGGCCTGCGGGGCTGTCGCCCCCCTTGGCGTCGGAACCTGGGGAGAAAGGTGGGGCTGTGAGGTCCGGCTGCTGTTGAGCGCAGATTCCCCTTTGAATCACTAGAGCTGAGAGGGCGCTCAGTGGCACAGAGGCCCGTCTCGGGTGACCAAGAACTTCCGGACGTGAAGGAAGCTGAGGCTCACAGCGCAGGGCACAGGACTTGCTGATGCGGACTCTTGGACTCTCAGCAGTGGGCTAATCCAGCGCCGGTGAGATTCATTCACGGGTGCTGTGCCTGCTGTGCAACCATGAAAGCCTGAGTTCAAGCCCTGAAACCTACATAGAAACCCTGGCATCGTGACACAAGTTTGCCATCCCAGCGGCCTGGGACCCAGTGGCCAGCCACCTTAGCTTAATGATCTAACAGCCAGCGGGAGACACAAAAACAGAGCAGGCAGGTCCAGAAGGATGATGCCTGGGGCTGACCTATGGCCTCCCCTCTCGAGAAAAAAAAAAAAAAAAAACAAGGGACAAAAAGTTCATGATGGAAAAGTTTATTCTATGTGCTTTAACCACCCTTTCTAAAAAACATTTTATGTGCGTGAAGTGTTTTGCGCATTTGTGCCTGGGCGTCATACGCATGCGTTCTGTAGAGGCCAGAAGGGGGCGTTAGGATCCGTGGAGCTGGAGTTACAGATGATTGACAGCCCCACGTGGGTCCGAGGAATTGAACCCAGGTCTTCTGCAAGAGCAGCAAGTGTACTTAACCCCGAGCGGTCTCTTAAGCCCCAGCCACACTAAAAAACAAAACAAAACACCTGGGTCACTGAAAGTGAGGCATCGGTTAGATTCCTTGCCTCCAGCTGTCTCAGGGTCCGGAGCCCCAGCCCTGGCCGCAGCAGGGATGTGGGGGAGAACTGAGGTAAACCTGCTGAGCGCGCTGCCCAGCCCGGGATAAAGAAGGGCCTTGCAGGAAGACTGGAAGGGAGGTTCCGAACTCCCCGTGCACCCCATGTGAGCTGGGCTGCCATCTGATTCTTGGCCCTTGGCTGTCTCTGCTCCGCATGTACGGGGTGCAGCCCTGAGAAGCGGCGGGGGGGGGGGGGGGGGGGCACCGAGACAGAGCTGAACATGGGCAGCAACGCAGAGCAAACCAGCCGCGAGTGTGAGCCAGCGCCGGCCACACTGAGTATGGAGCCCATCGCTCCAGCCAGGGAATTACAACACTGACAGCCCCAGCACCCAGGGCACAACCGGCTAATCTGCAGTATGAACAAGCCCCGCAAGCCCAGCATTCAGGGGACTGAAGCGGAAGGATTGCTTCAAGTTCAGGACCAGCCGAAGCTACAGCTTGAGACCCTGTCTCAAAACCAAGAAGAAAGGCCAGCTGGATGGCTCAGAATGGCAAAGAGCATGTCGCTAGGGCTGATGAGTTCAATCCCCAGGACCCACGCAGCAGAAGAGAAAAGACCGCAGGTTGTCATATGACTTCCACTGTGCACTGTGGCATTCCAGTGCTTGTGTGTGTGCATTCTTGCGCTACCGTACACACACACACACACACACACACACACACACACACACACAGAGTAAACATGGAGAAGAGGAGGAGGAGAACCAACAAAAAGAAATACATAAATAAAGCCAGAAAGTGGTGATGCATGCCTTTAATCCCAGCACTCGGGAGGCAGAGGCAGATTGATCTCTTGTGAGTTCGAAGCCAGCCTAATCTAAAGAGCAAGTTCCAGGACAGCCAGGAGAGTTAATACAGAGAAACCCTGTCTTGAAAAACCAATAAATAAATTAATACATAAATACATAAATGTAAAGAAAAACTAACACATGCCAACTCTGATATCCATTTACTGGAATTATAAGAAAAAGCATCCATTTTAACCACACGGTAAAGAGAAACACACTACTGAAATAAATCCAGTAGAAAGTCGTATTTTAAAAAGAACCAAGTCAGGGCTGGAGAGATGGCTCACTGATTAAGAGCACTTTCTGCTCTTCTAAAGGACTCAGGTTCAATTCCCAGCACCCACATGGCAGCTCACAACTGCCTGTAATGCCCATTCCAAAGGATCTGACACCTTCACACTAATGCACATAAAATAAAGATAAACAAAGAAAGAACCACATCACAATTTTAAACTAAATTTTAAAATATCTGAATTAATTTCTTTATTTATTGAGACAAGTTCTCACTATGTAGCCCCAGCTGGCATGATGTTCACTAGGTAGACCTCAAACTCAGAGATCAGCCTGCATCCTGGCATGATGGGGTCTTGAAAGTGTCTGATATTTAAAGAGATTACAACACACATTTTACCTATGTTTGGTCTGGTTTGTTTGGACAATATCTCAGAGTTAAAACATTAAGAAAGCTTGTTAAAGGCTAGGATATAGCTTTGTGGCAGAGTGTCTGGCATTCGTAGGGTCCTGGATTCAATCTTCAATACTGGATGGGGGGGTGGAAGAGAGGAAAGGGAAGGAAAGGTTTGGTTTTGTGTTGTTTTGAAGTCACCTGCACAGGGCTTGGGAGGAGGGGGATGACTCGGTAGGTAAAAGCACTTGCTGAGCAGGAGCTAGGACCTAGGTTCAGACCCTACAAAAATGCAGGAGTCAGTGGGGAGTGGGGCTGTGTACCAGGGACCCCCCCCGTGCTGTGTCGGATGGAGACAGGAGCATGGCTGAGACTTTCGGAGCCCTGGGCAGGGAGGGAAACCCCTTCTCAGGGGAATAAAGCAGAAAATGCTAAATATGCCTGAAGTCCCGACTGGCCTCTGCCCACTCTGGACCCTCCAGTTCACACCTATGTATATACAGAGATACACACACACACACATAGACACACACAGACACACACAGAGACTCTCACACATGCTCAAGACTGGCACACTGGAGCTCCTCCCTACCCTCCACCCCACCCCACACCTTTGTGGGGAAATTCTTCCACCGTCACTGCCAATAAGCCAGAACCTCCTCCTGGACAACTCCTGGACACAGCCTGTCAGTCGCAGAAGCCGCTGCTCGGGTGAGGCCTGAGGGCAGGTGTGGGCTTGGGACCTGGAACCGACCCCTCTAGGCCTCTTTCACCACCACAGTGGCACACACCTTTAATCCCAGCACTTGGGAGACAGAGGCAGGTAGATCACTGGGAGTTCGAGGCCAGCCTGGTCTATAGAGTGAGTTCCAAGGCAGCCAAGGCTACACAGAGAAACCCCGTCTCAAAAAAACCAAAAAAATAAATAGATAATAAATAAATAATAAGGACAGATAATGGCAACGCAGTGTTACAAAGATGACGGGAAGCAGGTGCCTGGCCCTGGACTCGGGTCCTCCCTAGGTCTTCAGGAGCCTTTCTACATAAGCTAGGGAATCGGGGCTCAGCAAGCACTTCACCGAGCCACTGCAGAAGGAGCCTGTCCAGTTATCATAACAAAAACCGCAGCTTCCCTGGATCCTGCCAGCGCAAATACCAGGCTTGATGGCACCTAGATAGGGACCTCGGAGTAAAGAAACCCGCTGGCTGCGCCGGCTCCGTGGCCTCAGGTTCTCAAGTTTTCGACACCCGAGCCTGCGGGCAACAGTCCAGCTGAGACAAGGGAGGGAAAGGGGCTGTTCCAAGGCCTGGGGTGTTCAAGAAGGGGGTGGGGCAGAGAGGAATTCTTCTTGTCACCCTAACATCCTCTGCAGTGGGTGCAGGGGATGTAAGGGGCACGGCGGGCATCCAGATGCTGCCCTGCAGGTCCTGGCACCACCCCAAGCCCCCTCGAGCCTGGGACTCAGCCCTGAGCGGGGGAACCGGTACCCAGTTTTGTAATCCCCCCCCACACACACACCAGGGGTCCCCTGCTGGGATATCTGGCCTTGATGGGGCTCTACCACGGAGCAGCCACGCCTACCGACCCAGCCTGCAGTCTCTGGTCCAGCCTGCGAGGTTTCTCTCCTCCCACCCTGCCTCCTTACTGGGTCACCCTGCTTGGGAGACCTCAGCTTGGTCCCGCGTGGTTAACAAAGCCAGCAAACACTGGATACAGCGAGGAGATTCCGGGCGGGAAATGCAGAGCCACCTGCTGCTGCCTGGACTCCTGGTCCCTCCCCAGCTGCCCCGCAGCGATGCGAGAAAGGGCGGGAGATCCTGAACTCCCCACCCCGCAGCCTCTTGTACACGACCTCGGCTCCGACTCTGAGTGCGAGTGTGCCCCGGCCCCAAGGTCGCCTCGCTCCCGTCTACACCCTCAGTCAGCTCTGCGCCCCGCGCTCCTCACCTGCCTCCATGGCACGATCCCGCGGCTATGCGGCTCTGGGCCTGGATCCTGGGTCCGCCCCACTCGGTGGACGGCGCCGGCTCGGGTTTCCTGGTGCCCGCCGCACGGCAGGTTAATAATTGACCGCCTTGTTTGTCCACGGCTGTGTCAACACGTCGCTCCCTCGCTCCCTGGCGCTTGCACCTACCCTGCGACCTCCTGTCTCTGGGACAGTTAGCGCCACGGCAGACCCCGAGGGCAGGATCCGCTCTGTGGAGCCTTGATCGATTCCTTGGCAGAGTTGCAGGGCCTGGGTGTCCTGCAGGGAGCCTTTAAGACAATGGGGTAGGAAGGAGGCAGGGCAATTCCCACAGGGATGAGAGACTGAGGAGAGGTGGAGACCCGGGCTGCCAGGGAAGCGAAGCTGGGTATACCTGTGACCCAAAGGCAGGATAATAAAGCTAGTTTTGTTGTTGTTGTTGTTGTTTTCATCAGCTTCCCGCCCCCTACCCCACAGAAGCCAGGGGTGTAGATTTTATGTAAGAGCTGAGATTTAGGACAACGTGTGTCCCACCTTCCCTGAAACGCCCCAGTCCAAAGAATCTCCAACAGGCCCAACCCAGCCACCGGAACAATACTGCACTCACCATGCAGGGTGTATTCGCAGCTGAGCTCCCAGACGAGGAGGAAAAGGCCTTGGAATAAAGAAGGCGCAACTGACCAGCTTTGGCCATGGCTGAGTTGCATATTGGCCTTGACCATGCTGGGATATTGGCTTATACAAGTTTACAAAGAAAGTGGCCTTGATTCAGCAGAGCCTCTGGAAAGGGACATGAATTCTCCCCATAAACTGTGAACTAAGCATACAGTTCAAGTCCAACTCATCCATAAGAACTAGAAGCCCCTAGACTAAAAATAGATGTTAAAAATAAAGGGGGGGGGGGAGGTAATAGGAGTGGCAAGAGCCTTTAATATCAGCACTCAGGAGTCAGAGGCAGGCAGATCTGAGTTCTGCTAGGCAGAGAACCCTGTCTCAAAAAATGATAGATAGATAGATAGATAGATAGATAGATAGATAGATAGATAGATAGATAGATAAATGGGAGAGAGTGGAGAGATAGCTCAGTGGTTAAAAGCATTTGCTGTTCTGATGGAGAACCTGAGTTTGGTTCTCAGCACCCACATATGGCAGCTCACAACCAACAGTAACTTCAATTCCAGGGATCTGACGCCCTCTTCTGACCTCTAAAGACACTGCACTCACATGCATACACACAAATACAATGTCTTAGTTACTTTTCTATTGCTATGAAGAGACACCATGACACAGGCAACTTGTAGAACTTATCGGTCTAAGGTTTACAGGAAAGTGAGACCAGCAAAGCTGCGATAAGGCCAAAGAATGAAGCTTTCCTGAGGTCCAAACTACCACGCTATCTGTGAGAGAATGGAAAGCAGCCCCCACAAAAGGGAGTTTGGCTTTTTTATGGAATGGTTGAAGTTGGGCTGGTGAGTATTAAAAGGAAAAGAAAACTGCTGCAAACAAAGAAACTGTCATAAACATAAGCTTTTCCCAGGGGACCTCTGGTCATCAAGATATTAGAATGCATGTGTTGTGCCCGAATCTCAATACCCCAAAAGACCACCACCAGGAGCCGAGTCCGTTGCAAAACACATAAGGATCTTTTTATTACAAATCATTACAAGCTGCAGCTCGGGCTCACAACCCCCATCGCCAAAGCAGTGAAAGCCAAGAGCCCCGTGCTCAGGTTAGTTGGGTGATTTAAAGATTCTGGTCCCTCCCAGCATGCCCAAGGCAGGGTCAATTCCTGCCTGGCAAGCATCTATTGGTCAAGACGCTGCATTTTAAATTGATTGGCTATAGGAAGGTTCCCAAACCATTAATGATCTGGTGCACCTCCCTAGAGAGATGGGCCAGTTTCTTGGCAACTGTATCTCTAGTGGGTAGGGAAAGAATACAGTAAGGTTAGTTCCTTCCCTCAGGGCATTACTGGACAAGTCTCCACCCAGCTAGCCTTAGTTCAGGCCTTAAACTTTAAAATAATAGCCACCGATTTTTAATCTTTTCGTCTCTCACATGCTAGGCGGTGGTGGTGCATGGCTTTAATCCCAGCACTCACGAGGCAGAGGCAGGCAGACGTCTGTGAGTTCAAGGTCAGCCTGGTCTACAAAGCCAGTCCAGGACAGCCAAGGCTACAGAGAGAAACAAACCCTGACTGGAAAAACACAAAACAAATAAACAAAAGCTGCTGGGAAAAGGTTGAAGGTTGAGCTGAAAAGATAGCTCAGTGCTTAAAGGCGTGTACTTGCATAGGACTGGCGTTCAGTTCCCAGTCCCCACATCAGATGGTTCACACTGCCTGAATCTCAGCTCCAAGGCCTCTTCCAGCCTCAACAGGCACCTGGACACACAAGCAGATGCAAACACATCTACATACTCTGTAACATATAATTAATAAAGCAACAGTTTTCCTAAACCCTGCTAGCTCCCAAAATACTTGACACAGAGGCTTTGATGTAAAGTGCTGGAGCTAGACATCAAACCTCTAAGCTACTTAGCAACTTTTAGCTACAGCAACTTTATTAGCCAATGGGGATAATTGGGGAGAGGGCAGAGTTACACAGCATTGCTTGGTGTACGTGAGAATGCACTCATCTAGGCTGTAACCAAATCTTAGGGGCCAGTAATTAGCATTAGAGTACACAGCACCAGACCAAGCCCCAACAACAGTCCTTTCTGCCTCCAGAAGAAACATCACCCAAACTGGAAAGCAAGCTAAGAGGGGGGAAAGTGTAGGGACAACCCCTCTGTAGGCATGGAAAAGGTGCCAGGATGACCAAGAGATCCAGATCACACATAGCCCAGAAAGCATGGAGACCAAAACACCCAAGTGTGTAGGCGCTATTTTTTAAATCTAATTTATTGGTTTCTTATGCCTCAACCTCTGTTGGGAGCCGCTGGTCTACCAGCTGCTTTGATATTTAGATCTCAGCGGAAAGACTGCTTTCACCTTGGCCTTCACTGGAGTCAGTGATGAATTTCTGAGTCTATCTCCTTTTGTTTGAGACAGCAGGTGGGATGCCTTGTCAAAATTGCCCCTCTTGTTTCACTTCCTTGTGAATTTAACTCATTGTGCTGAGGTGCTTTTGCTCCGGCTTAACAGCAGTCTGAAATAAAGCAACTCGTCTAGGCTCTGCTAGAGCCTCTCGGAAAGGTCCCATGTGTTGTACGTTGGTTTATTAATGTTAATCCTCACTCCCAACTCAAGAACCTTTTGACTCTGCCGGCGGGCTCCGGCATACTTCCCTTCCCATCCTTATCCCTCCTAATACCTTCCAACACCCTACTGCTAGGTAGGAGAGAAAGGTTAGCCAGGAGAGGAGGCGGAGTTCTCTTAGGCTACTCCGGGCTGGTTGGGGTCGTCAGAGGACCTAGCAGTCCAGCAGACCAGAGACAGCAAACACAGCGAGAAGAATGCCCGAGCCACAGCACGGGGAGCAGCAGCAGCCTTCTTTCTCCGACCCTTCCCTCAAAGCCTCCCTCTTCTCCTCTCTGTGTATTTTTACCCTCTCAGGGTCTTTAGAATTAATCTGTAGCTGCAAAGATCACACCCCTCTCAGAGACACATGAGGCTGCTCTCAGCTATGAATACACTAAAAACAGCTCCATATCCCACATGTGGGGTTAACACAAAGACATAACTGGGTTTTTAAAGAAACCAAAACTTCCTCTACCCAACCATATCACGGAGGAGCAGAGAGAGGATCGGGGAAGAAGATGACAGCCTCTCTCTTTCTTTCTCTCTCTCCCCCCACTCCGGTGTGTGTGTGTGTGTGTGTGTGTGTGTGTGTGTGTGTGTGTGTGTGTGTG